AAAAAAAAAAAAGGCATTGGCAACCTTGAAGAGTGTCATGTCTGTATCATGGCAGGCTTGGAAGCTAGACTACAAGGGAAAAAGAAATGAAGAATGAACAGAGACTGAGGCAGTAGGGATATTAAGTCTAAAATTATTCTTTCAATGAGTTTACTTAAAAAAAAAAAGAAGATATGTAGCAAATGACTGGATGGGGGGTGACAGAGAAAGTTGAGAGTAACTTGTAGGCTGTAAAATTGGGGGACTGTAAAAGATAGTGGTGTTCTTGATAGAAACAGAGAAGTTAAGAAATGAGGTGCATTTAGGGGGAAAGAAGACTTTTATGCTGGACTTGTTGAGTTTGAGATGTCTACAAGAGACACAAGAGATCTTTATAAGAGTGAAAATGCTCAGCAGGCATTTGGAAATGCAAAACTGGAGCTCAGGAGAAATATGAGAGAGAAATAGGTAGCTCTGGGAGTCATTTGTACAAAGATGATTCAAGCTGATAAGGTTACTAAGAAAGAAGAATATGAAGAAAGAAAGGAAGAGGACCTAGAACAGAGCCCTGACATGATCCTACAAAGAAAAAGAAGACTGAGGAATGGTTGGACAGGTTAAAGGACCAGAGGATTCACAGATCTAAAGCTAATAGGATATCAGTTCCAGTTCCTTTATTTTAAAGATAAAGAAAAGAGAACTAGGATTAAGTGTCATGAAAATCCAGGGAAGAGCAAGTATCCAGGAGGAGGGAGAGGTCCTATACAGTGTCAAATGCTGCAGAAAGGCCAAGAAGGATGAGAAACAAGAAATGACTAAGGGATAGTGTACCTGGTGATACGATTCTATCACAGCAATCAACAGAAAAACATTATGATACTCAGAACGGCTCAGAATTCTCCGCTAAACTGTGTTCACTAATTGTCATTACATTTTTTAAAACTTAGTACTTCAAAGAAAATTTTTAAAAAGTATGGCTAATTAGATTACACAAAGATATGAGTGTGTGTGTCTGTGTATATATGTAAATAAAATGGCTACCTCTCAAAAAAGATTAAATTGCTCAGTTAGTAACTGAATTATATGCATGATAAGAACAGTGACATATTGGGGAAGCTTGGTGGCACAATGGATAGAGCACCGGCCTGAAGGCAGGAGGACCTAAGTTCAAATCTGGCCTCAGACCAAACACTTGACACTTACTAGCTGTGTGACCCTGGGCAAGTCACTTAACCCCAATTGCCAAAAAAAAAAAAAATAGTCACATATTCTTCAGGAATTGTAAGACCAACCAATATTGATGTTTTTTTTGTGTGGAAAAAAGGTTACATTTTTATTCACATGGAACATGAAAAAAGGTCACTATGTGATAACATTCTGGCCACAGCAACCCACAAATGAAATAGATCTGGGGCACATCATTTCTTTCCTTCAGATGTCAAAATCAGAGGTACATAGCATTGGGTTTTATAATAAGGAGTAGAAAGAAACATTGTATTCCTTTATGTTACTTTGGCAGTAGCACCTTATTTACTCCATGTCTTCCTACAATACCCCTGGCTACCCAAACAAAACCAGTGGGGTTTCAGCAATAAAGAAATTATGGAAAACCTAGGTGTTAGTTATCTATATGATGGCTGGCAAGTCTGACAGGATATTATATTACCTTCCCATAACCTGCATTTGCAGGGGTTTTGGACAACTGTAAATTCCTTATGAGCTATTGGAAACCCCATGGTTAATAAGCATATGCCAGGAAAGTAGTCAGGGTAGGAGGGAAGTATAAGTAACTGGATCAGAGAGTCATTGTTCACATTAATTTGCAGTGCTGGTTTTGGGAGATTCCTAGCTTTGTCCTTGCATCCTAAAGTTTTCACTGGAGATATAGGGGAAGGTGGAATCAGAGAAGAGAAAGGAAAAAAAAGCATCCTGAATGATTTTTGGCCACCCAGGATTCCTCTGGATCAGAAGCCAGCTACCTGTACTCTAGGAGGCACCTTATGGATACTCTGTAACCCCTTTAAAGTCCATGACAAAAAAACCTATGTGTAGTTGGAGCAAACATTTTAGTGAAAAACAGAACATCTTATTTAAGAATCCCTATGGGGAACTTTTTCCATTATAGGAACACAATTTACGCATTCAGCACTGATTCTTCTAGTTTCATTAAATCATACAATATTTTCCTAAGCAGGAACTGTTTTGCAGGACTAATATAATCTGAACGAGTCTTAGGGTTCTTCTAATTTGGCACAGACCATTTTTAATGGAATCATTTACAATTTAGCATTGCCCTTCATAAACAAAAGTATGATCTCTCCCCCACCTCCTCAATAACTGTTAGCTTAGTATTTTAGTTTAAAAACAAAAAGCCACTACTTAACAAACAAACCAACCAGTTTCTATGTTTCTATTTCTGCAGTTGTAAGAAACAAAAGACTAAAAAACAGAGAAAGGGATAAGGACTGGACCTGTGATTTCACTGGCATAAGGAACTCCCAGCTGAGGAAACTCTCTCTACCAGTGCAGGTCAGTACCTTCCGTGAAACTTTCAGTCTTACAGAGCTGCCTAGAGTCCTGTGAGGTAAAGTCCTGCACAAGATCACCTAGCCAGAATGGGGCAGAAGTTAGATTTGAACCCAGGTCTTTCTTGGCTTTGAGGCCAATTCTCTATCCACTCTACCAAAGGAGAAATTTTCCCAACTTCATATTTAAATACACAAATATCTAACCTCTTTCCAGACTGAAATTAGTAATATCTGTTGATGTTTCTTCATCATCACTGGAAAGACCTTCAAGGTGATCTGCCATTTTGCCGGTTTGCTCCCTGGCTTGTCTGCGACGGGTCCTAAAGATAAACAATATCAAGTTCTCCTAAAACAGATAAAACAAGTACCTCTTTCTCATATACAGCGAGCACAAGGATGGGAAACATTACCTTCTGGCCTCTCGTTCTGCAATCCGACGCTTTGCATGCTCCTGATACAGGGCTCGGTCTCGTCCAAAAGAATCAAGATTTGGTGCCATCAGAGCTTTATCTGCAAGACATCAATGATTCAAATTAAAAGCCTCCTATCAACAATAATGGGGAAAGAGTTTGCATAGAACAAACTAGTATGACAGACCGCTTACTAATCTCAATACAGTGTGATTGGTTCCCGTTAATAAACCTGAATATTTTTCTGTGTTCCTGAGAAAAGGGGCAGAGGAAGCAGTGGAACAACCGAATTCCCTTTTAAGAAGCAGCAACAACCCTAGCACATAAAACACTTTTCATCTTTTTTCAGGTCTTAAGTATTGAAAATGGTGCATGCTATTATGAACACAGAAAAAATTAAAAAATCCATACTGCCTGAACAAAAAAAAAAAAGTTTTCCTTCAGCCACATGATTTCAAATGTTGTGTGCTTCATAAGATGAAAAACAGCAAAGAAAGACAGAGTAAGAACACAGAAGGTGGTCTAAGTACTATTTAAATTTTGGCCCATACTAACAATATTTGATTTACTAATTACAACTATCTTTTGGAACTATGAAGAAGAGAAGCAATACTCAACCCTGAAGTCCAGAATCTGAGTATGTCCAACTTCACCATCCCAAAATATTCTTCCTTTTACACTTTTCTCACTCCTGTTTCCAAATTCCTAAACTATGAGTCTTTGAAAGGAAATGACACAGCAGTGGGAGGGAGATAAATGAGGAGATATTGGGGGGACAGAAGAAAAACACATGAGTAAAAAAGGTACCAATTAAAGCCTGTGGAGATTCCCCTTCCCACCTCTCCTTTTCTGGGCTTTTCCAAAACCAAGACATTCAACAGCAGGAAAACAAAATAAAACAAAACAAACAAAAAAAGAAATGGCTCACCCTCAAAATGTTCTATTACTGAAGAAGGTAGAAGTTTAAAAAAAAATTTTTTAAGTCCTAAGATAGGTCTGCAGGGTTTTTTAGAATATCTCTATCACAGCTTGTCTCTGGCGAGTTCCTGGGGCAAGTTGGTTAATTCCCCATGCTTTAGGAAATCCTCTAATACGGCAAGTTGCAGAGAAGGTGTCAAACTGCATTGGTAAAAGGAGTTTCCTATATTGATGCAATAATAGATCTGGTCCCTATTCCTAGTCACTAGGATAAATAATGAGTAATTGTTTAATCATGAATGCCCCCAACTGTGGCTCGACTTCTGTAAATTTCCCAAATCTACAGACTATTTCAATTAAGAAACTCCCTGACATCCAAAACATCATACTTCTTAAAAACAAACTTCAACAAACAAATGATTTAAAGTATGGATAGTACTATAATATTTTAAGTACCATCATTTATAGGTTTTACAAAAATACTTAGTCTGAGGGAAACTATTTAGGAAAACATCTGAGTCAAGAAATCCTTTTGTCTCTATTCCTATCCCTCAGTTTGTTTTAAGGTAGCAAAGATTATACAAAAGTATTAATTAATTTAGGCAGGCAATCTATGTGACAAGTTTTCAAAATCTTTTTAATGGATGTTAACACTGCTCTGGGAAGTATTAGAGACATTTTCACCATTTCCCACGTTATTTTTCCTCAAATCTTCTAACAACGTTCACTCCTTGACTCATTTTTTAATTTTTATTTTTTAAAACTTTCAGTCTAATTATCATATACTATCCCACACATACTACAAGCAACACTTAAGTAGTGTGAATACATTTTGATGAGCAAATTATAAGCAGCAATGGAAATTGCTTAGAGAATCTAAAATGTACAATTCATGTTAATAACTTTATTTGAGAAGGAAATTTCTCCCATGAACAAGTTACTAATTACTGAATGACAAAAGGCCCAGGTTATAGAAATCTAGCTCAGTACAGAGCAAAATGTTTAGGGTGGGATGCAGAAGTCAAAATCTGTAACACATCAGAACAATGACACAGCAAAACGGAAGCTCAAAAGCCATTTGGGGCTCTCAGCCCAGGTTAGTTTACTCTGGAAGCCATTGCTATTACCACTTCTCTTTTTTGCCTCTCCCAAACTCACAGGTCATGCCTATTTTGTTAATCAAACACTTCTTTCAGAAAGAGAAGGTCACCATGAATATTTAGTGATATCAGAGAAGACAGACAAAAAACAAAAACAAACAAACAAAAAAAAAAGAAATGGCAACAGAAATTAGATTTTCACACCAGCAAAAATTCTGATCATCTAAAAATTGCACTGGAATGCATGGGCAAAAAGAAAAGGGTCTCAAAGGTTTAAAATTAAGCTGTATTTTTATGGACTGAACTAACAACTACACATATGTGCGTGCGTGTGCGTGTGCGTGTGTCTTTCTTTCTGATAAGAAATATATGTCTCAGCTCAGTCTATCTGACCAAAGATTAACAATTATGTTTCCCTTCAAATTAACAATTCTTATTTTTTTCTTTAAATTAAACTACTCTTTGACCAAAGGAAAAGTATTGCTGATACACTATATGGGTAACACCACATCAAGGTAGAAAAAAAAATGAATATGCAAATAGCTCCACTACATTTTCAAATCACTTTTACAAAGTGAATAAATACTTCAGAAAGACTAAAATTCATTTACTTTCTACCCTACAATTTCAAGTATTGCAAAGCATTTCAGTGTGCTAAAGTTAGGATAGTAGGGAAGGGGATGTTAAAAAAAAAATACGTGGAGAAATGCTTTACCCAAGACATATTTAAATAAAGACTCCGAACCTCACAAAGCTGAAGTTTTACATTTGATTCACACTAACAATTTTAACAGAATAAAATTGGTTTAAAATTTTTTTTTCTATCAAGTCTTCAAACTTCCTTCGTGATCAAGTAATCATAATGTTAGTCTTACTATGTGTAAAGTGAAAAAAGTAGGAAAAAAAAGATAAGATGGTTTCAAGTTAAAACATTATGAATGAGGTACTAACTGAATTCTAAAGAAGAAAAGAGGAAATATGACTAGAGAAGACAGAAATAATTACAAAACAAAAGGTAATAGTGAAAATCTCAGAGTTCTTGTGTGATGCAGAATTTAAAAAATACATTTTGATTCTATGATGTTATTTTTAGATCTACCTGTTACAAGAGCAAGGAAACTTGTTTTTAAAAAAAGTACTCTGAGATATCTACTTTTCAATTAAGCTGAACTAAGTAAACAAGGTTGTTTAATGAATAATAAAAACCTTCAAGATGGACTGACTTGAATGGCTTGAAAACTCCGAAGATTCATCTTTAATATCATCTTGTCGTCTTTGGACAAGGCGGGAAGCTCGCTGTTTGTACAGCTGATGCATTGCTGATTCAAGTTCGTTAATCAGTGGCACCTGCAAAAATACAACACACTACGTAACATCAAATTCTAGCTGCTTAAGTATTCGGGGGTTCCATACTAATCCAAGAATTCTGAAAAGGTATCCTAACTATGGTCAGAATAAAAAATGCAATTAAAAAAAAAAAAACAAGAAATTAATTTGTGTTTCTGTAGTTTACACATAAATTCTGTTCACAATTCCAAAAGTCCCTTTGAATGTTTTCCAATAAAATTTGCCTACCAGATTTTTTAGAATGTCTTAATTTTTTAAAAAGGTGCATCATTAATTTCTCAGCAGTAAGTTCTGATTCTCAAAAATACAAAGAAGCCAACTATATGATTACCACTGGGCAGTGCTAAAAAAAAAAATGTATCATGCTGTACGTATATCATGTTTCTTACACTAATCCAAAAGGCAATTGAATTAATAATTTAAGATAACCCTAATACTGCCCTAAAACTTACAAACACTACATAACTCAGTGATTTATTGAACTTTTAAGCAATTCTGTCAACAAATAGTGTAATATTACTGTAATAGGGTTCACTAACCTCTCTGTTAGCAACCAGGATTTCCTGTTATGAGGCACTAATGTCTTAAAAGCATAGTCAGGAAGTTCCACCTCTTGTCACCAAAGAATTAATTTCCTTTATTTCATTATAAGACAGTGAGTTTTCACATGAATTATCAGTTTAAGAAATCAATGAACTCTGCTTTTAGTTTATTAAAACATTTATAGTTAATTACGTCACTGGTTCTCATTTAGCGCAAAAGCTTTTATAAAAAGCTTATTAATGCAGTCTAATAAAATGAAACATGGATGTTTATTTCTTCATAATCCTATCATTTCAAATAAAACTGTCTCGAAGAATCCACAAAAAGCTAACCACTACACATAAGTAAACCAAAACTTATAGTTTCTTGATAGTACAAATGGAAAGTACTTAAAAAGTTTTTGGGTTTTGTTTTTTAACACTAGCCCCAAACATTAAAGCAGCTTGTTGAATGGAATGGACTGGAAATGGATAATTAAAAAAACAAAAACAAAAAAAAGGGTAGGTACAAAGAATATCTCAGTGAAGCAAGTTTTTGCACATCTGCATGATTCCATTGTGGAAAAAAAAAAAGCAAATGATCACTGAAAGGTGAAAAATGATGTAGTCATTTTATTCCTGAACAAGTCCTAATGATGGGACAACAATGTCCTCAAATCTTCACCTACTGTTGTCAAGAGTTCAACCCAACAACTTGGGATCTACCAAGAGCCAGTTTTTACAGGTGAGATTACAGTAATTTTGCATTACATTTTGACAAAGAACATTCTACTCCCTGAAAAAATTTTATGCATATTCTACAATGAAAAAAAGGACAAAGACTAAGTATGCTTAAGCTCACAAGATACAGGACTAAAGACAAACCATATTTTATTAAAAAATCATAAAATTCATTCCTTACTCCTGATAATAATATTTTCTCTAATGGAATTTATGTAAATATATATTTTTCAAAATTTTGGTTAAGTTTCTGATAATGTAATTTTCCTAGTTTTGGATGCCTTTTAACAAAATCCACAGAAAATTCTACCAAACATCAAGAATCTATAAAACTCATAGCTTAAGTGTAACTAGATTTATTTTAACAACTTTCACCAAGGCAATTTTTCCCCTCTTCAAACCTCAAAAAACAAACAAACAAAACCCCACAACTAAGTATTATTTCAGTGGTATGTCTTTTTACTAAGCTGGAAGCCAGGATGTTGGCTAGACGTAGAAGGAAAAACAAGACACTGATAAATTAGATTTAGAAATTAGAACAAAAGCTAGAGATTTTGACTTTGTTTAAAATCTGGAAGCATTAGAACTTTATTCTGTTGTACATTTCATCTTTAAGAGGAAAACTTAGAGGAATGATCAAATTTGTAGTCTTGCACTGAAGCAATGTCCTTGCAGTATCATCAGTGATCTGAATCTTCAAGATTATAATCCAACTCTGTTCCAAAAATAGTTGCAAGATAGATGACTCATGACAACATTAATTCTGCAGCATTTTAATAATGAACTTGTATATATGCAATTATTCAAAACTAAACAATATTCATTGGCAAAAGATAAACTACCTACATGAAATCAAATGCTATATTAGTTTGATATATATGTACAGCACCAGATAAATATAAATTTCACTTATCTAATGTTTTTCATGTGTGGCCTACGGTAAGCAGAATATGAAGTACAAAGAATTAATTTCTACAAAACACAGCAACGGACTGTAATTTTTCTGTAATTGGCACAATTCATTGAGCACTTAGTACAAATAGATGAAAGGGCCTAAGTGGGGAAAAGAGCTAAAAGAGGCCTGAAACTCCCAGAAATTGGGTTCGTTTGAAAAATTATCATGTAGTAGTTTACAAGTTTACAAAACTACATGTCTTTTTCTTAATTATCGAAGTTTGATTCAACTCACATTTATCAAGTTTATGTAAGAAAGTATTGAAAAAAAAAAACGTGGCCTTAATGCTAATGAATACTACTTGTTCACATAACTTAAAATGCTGTCATCCACTGAAGAGATGTCTATTAATAAGAATATCATAAAATCTAAGCTTAGCTTTCTTAAAGTTAATTTTCTTTCAGGTGCTCATGTTCCCAAATAATAGGGCTTTATCTTAACATGTATAAATATGCAATTCTCTATATAATAACAGACAACCCCAAAATTTATTTTTTATGAAAACTAAGTAAAGAACAGTAAAAAAAGTTAAAAAAAAAAAACTAAGTAAAGAAAGATAAGTAAGAACCAGTAACCTTTAGGTCACAGAAGGCTGGTCCCCACAAAGATTTCCAGGTTTAGATCTGCTCTGTTGGTAGGAAAAAACATCACTCTGCTTTCTGATGCTTATGTCCAACCTCCAGCCTTGATAAGTACATGACCAAGTCTATGCCTCCACTATTCCTTTATGTATTGCCCCTACTCGATGGAATGCTATACCATGGCATAATCTCCTACACATTAAGAGTGACATCTAATCTAGAAATTCAGTTGCAAGGCCAGGCACATAACAAAGCCCTAAGATTGAATCAGGACATCATTTTTGCTGCTGTAAGTCACAGACTAGGTCTAATCACAGGCCACCTGGGCTCATTAAGGAAGCCAAATTCAGTCTGAAAACTATTTGCTACTAATCCACAGTTTTAGATATTACAATAATATCTAAATAGCAGGGAAATCAAATACTTAAGTGTTGATGTTTTGCCAAACCACATTTCCACAATATAGCAGATTATACACTGATCCACATAGACAACAACAAAGGGAAAAGCTTTCTTTCGATCTCTTTATAAAGAAGGATATTTTATATAATTTTCTGCCAGGAACTCATTCCAAGGGGGAAAAGGGATATAGAAGGAAGTGAGGACAAGAAGAGGACCATCATTTTTACAGCTAAGAATGAAAGGTCCATAAAATATTGCGTGGTGTTTATCAACTAATGTATGAAGCAAAACATTTTGCAAAATCTCAGAGAAAAAATAATTAGCTATATCATAATTTCTAACTCAGAAGAAAAATCACATAGAAGGACAACTGTAAAGAAAGAAAATTCTAAGGAAATTATTAGAAATGTAATCAATGAGTGACAAAATGAAATGCTAAAATTGTGCCCAATACACTATTTTTCTAAGAGCAAACATTTAGAATAAAATGACAACTTAAAAAGAATGGTAGTTCAAAATGAATGCTTCTTGAAATGGATGACGCTGTAATTTGAAGCGGAATACTATTGGAAACAAAAATAACCAAATCTATACTAGGAAATACAAACATTAAGTCATTTTGTATGTATTTGGAATTATGTATAGAATTATAACAAAACTTAAATGTAGTCTTAAAAAAAATCCTATCACAGCAGTACCTGACTTCTAATGCTTTAGGACAAGCCAATCAGTAAGCTATTCTATGATTAAATCAAAACTTTCTGTCTAAAAGTGCTTCAAATGGGTACTCATCAAAGGTACTACTATTAAAACTATTAACAAAATCATGAAAATAAAACAGTATAACTTCTCATCATTTCTAAAACCAAATTCAATAACAATTTTTTTAAAATACAGAAAGGTGCTAAATAAAACCTAGATTCCCTACTTTTGATTTATTGAAAGAGATTATTATTTTTGCATTCTTACCTTTTCACTGAAACACTCAAGCAAGTCTTGGACATACCCTCGCATTTCTTGCAAAAATTTATACCGTTCACCAATACCCCCAGAAGACCCTTCCAATCTTTCAATAGCCCTGGTAGAGTCCACTCGGCTTTGCAGGTGTTTCTCATGTTGCTGTCGATTTGCTTTGTGCAATTCTTTCAAGGAGTCTAACCTTAGGAATAAAAAAAAAGGATAAATATAGCAAATTTATATCCAAAACCTTAAGTTGTCAGGACACTTGCAATATTACATTATAATGCAATTAGTTCCAATGTATGAAAAAACTTTAAAGGCACTTTTCATCTGCACTGCTTTTTTTTTTCTTTTCAAATTTGGCAGGCTAACCGAATTCTCATTCTTTGTTTTGCTTTTCCCCCCAAATCTTGACTACACTTTTTCAGTGTCCAGAAGGTAGAAAATCAGATCTGTCTTCAACAAGATCATATGGTGACATTTCTATAATTTTTCCAGGCTTCCACAGAAGTAATCCAAGGAGGTAGCAGAACAGAGTATGATGTCATCTTCCGTTTAGTTTTTGAAGATGGGCCAGTGGCTCTTCATCGATGATATTCTGCATCTGCTACCCCAGACTAAATGTTGCCTGAGGGAACAGAAAGCTAGAAGACAGGTCTTTAAGAAGCTGATCTGCCCTACCTGTCTTTAAGCTGTTTCTTTACCAAATCAATAGTAACAGGAGTCATCTCATTACTGGGAGTTTTGAAAGGGACTGTATTATCTGTTTTTTGTGATTTGGCTTCTGATGATCCATAGGCTGTATAACTGTAAGGAATGCCATACGATGAACCATAAGGCATTGTCTGGTAAGTATTCTGGTAGTACATATTCACTTCAGCAGGCTGACTCGCTTGAACCTATAAAAGAAGGCATGTGACACATGAAATACTAACAACATAACTGTCAATATATGATTAGAGAGTAAAATACAGTTCCAATAGAAAATGCCCCCAATTTCTACTTAGTATTTACTTAAAATTTTAATTCAGTTAAAAATTAGTATTGCACATTTCTTCAAAAACAAACAAAAACCATCAGGGAATAGGAGAGGGAGCCGACAGAGATTTTTTTTCCCATTGTAACAGACCTTTAATTGATGCCTAACAATTGACAGAATTATTATTAAGTATGTTTAAGGTGAAAAAGACCTCAGAAATTATCTAGTCCAACTCCATGTTTCCATAAGGAAACTGAGGCTCAGAGAAGTGAAATTATTTGCTCAAGGTCACACAACTGGTTAGTGACAGAGTCATGATTAGAATTCAGGTCTCCTCACTGCGACTGCTGTGCTCTTTTCACTAGTTTCTTCTTAGCATAGCATACCAATTAAGGACTTGTAAAATTATGGAGTCATGAAAAGAGATTTACTCAAGACTAAGATAATTTTTGTCAGTATGCTTTATAAAAAATATTCCAAAGTATTTATTCTGCTCTCCTCAGTGGGAAGTAATATCGGGTAGAGAAAAGGGCACTGGACTGGATTCAGAAAAGATCTGGATTTAAAGTCTTTTAACAGTCGGGTGATCATGGGGTGAGTCACTCAACTTCTGAGCATCAGTCTCCTCACGTGTAAAATCAGGATACTTGTATCCAATGATAGTATCTGTGGCTAATCTACCTTACAGAGTTGCTATGAGTATCCATTTTGTAAACCTTAAAGTCACATATAAACGCCAGCTATTTATCACAGAATTGTAGGTTTCCCAGCAGTCATTTAGCTAACCCACAGCCAAAAAGGATCTCATCCCTACTATTAACATACATGACAAATGGTTATCCAGACCTTGCTTGAAGATCTCTAATGAGGGAAACCCATAATCTCGTGAGGCAGGTCATTCCACTTGTGGACAGCTCTAATTGTTGCAAGTTTTTTCTGACAGCCAACATAAATTTGTCTCTTTGCAACATTTACCCACTGTTCTTGAGTTTGCCTTCAGGGACCAAACAAAACAAGTGTAATCACACCTTCCAAATGACAGACCTTAAAAAACCTAATGACAGCAATCACATTCTTCCTGAGTCTCTTCTTCTACAGGCAGGCCTTCATCTATCTCCAGTTCCTTCAATTTATCCTCATATCACATGAACTCAAGTCCTTCATTATCCTGGGTGCCCTCCTCTGGACTCTTTCCAGTTTATCAGCATCATTCTTAAAACACTATGCAATGATGTAAAAACAGTACGTTCCATGTGTTATGTCCAGAGGCAGAGGTGCTATCTGCCACCTCCTTATTCCTGGGAAGGTGTTTCTCTCTTACAGAATTTCAAAACTGCAATATCTTTTCTGCCATCACACTGCTGACTGCAGGGCTTACAGTCCACCAATACCCTCCGATGGTTTTCTGACCAACTGCTATTTAACTCTTCTTCCCCAATCCAGAAATTGAAGTTGATTTTTTGAACCCTACTGACTTTAGTCTTACTATATGCTCTTACCTGCCATATCTTTTGAGATCCTAAATGTAATCCAGTGTTAGCTATCCCTCCCAGCTGTATATCTAATGAGTATGCACCTATGTCAGTATCCAAGTCAATGATAAACACTGAACAGCACAGGGTCAAACACAGATCTCTGGGATGCTCTGCCAAGTTGACAATGAATTATTAATGATCACTCTGAGTCCAAATATCAACTTGTTCTGAATCCATCTAACTTTATTACCTTATCTAGTCTATATCCCTCCACTTTTTTTTCCTAAGAATGAGACTTTATAAACCGCTTTCCTAAAATTTAAGTAAACTTAACTACATCTTCTAATATACCAGTTTAATAATAAAGTTAAAAAGAAAAAGGAAGGTAGGGGGAAGACCTGTTCTTGATGAAGTGGGCCACGCTGGCTCTTTTTCATCACGGCTTTCTTTGCTAGATGTTCACTGATCATTTCTTTAATTATCCATTCTAAAATATTTCCAAGTATCAAAATCAAACTGACTGGCCTATAATTTGTAAACTCTGTTCTCTCTCCTTTTATAAAAATCACAACACTTGCTTTTCTCTAACCTCACAGCAACTTTTCAGCCATCACACCTGCCATTTCCTCCATAAATAAGGATGTGGTTTCCACATGCCAAGTGACCTGAATTCAAAGACAGCCAGATGTTCTCTTACTATCTCCTTTACTTATCTCGAGTAGCAAATTCCCGTTCCTCGTTTTTACTGTTATATCCAGTGTTTCTCCTTTACAGAGAAAACATATAAAATGAGAATAGTTTTGCCTTCTCCGTTGTCAGTTTTCATCATCTAGTTCACGCCAAAGGCCCCGTTCCTTTTTGGATGCTCTTTTTTTCTCCCAACATGGCTAGGGAAACCCCTTGTTCTGCCTTCTGCTTTTCTGGACACTGGCCCTGCTGGCACGGTTTACACAGGGCTGTGCCAGGGTCTTACATTTACCCCTGTCACTTTCTCATGCTTCCATCTTCTGTATTGATCTTTTGAAATCTAAGCTGCTTGGTGAGTTCCCTGTGCATCAACATCACTATCTTCAGACTTGGCCTCTTTTTCCTCCTCACTGAGATTATTTCCCTTTATGTCTTCAAAATTTCTTCCTTGAGTAGGATTCCTATTGCTTGTGGATTGATACCTTTGTTTAGTCCATAAGATCCTATTTTTCCTTTGAAATCTCCTTTCTCATAATCCAGAGAGCACGCCATACTCTGCCTGGTTTTCTCCCCTCCTCTATCCCAAACTCCAGCACAAACTGGCCTCCCCAGGGTTCCCATCATTTCCATCTCAACAATCTCTACCTGTGGGAAACAGATCCAATCTAGAATTTCCCTTTTGGGAACTTATCATCAAGTTGAGAAGACATTAGCTGCTCTGTTTTTGTCAGCCCCCAGGTGATGTCTGGATGGATGAAGCCTCCTCTCACTCCTAGATCAAGACACTGTGCCAGGCTTGTGATTCGAGTCCCTATCTCCACATCCATTTCCCCTTTCTGCCCAAGTGGTCTGTAGTATACTCTATGACATTACTTTTGTTTTTCTCTCCATTATCTTCACCCAGACAGCACGGTACAGTGGAGAGTGCCGGCACTGGAGTCAGAGGATATGGATTCAAATTCTGCCTCTGATATTTACTGTGTGACACTGGGCAAGTCCCAACCTCCCTGGGTCTCAGCTCTCCATGTGTCAAATGAGAGGGTTGGACTAGATGGCCTCTGAGGCCCCTTCCAGTTCTGGACCTACGATTGCGAGATTTCCTCGTAAACTCTCCACCATGCGTCCTCCCTGTGGGTCTGCTTTCCTCGTACGTACAGCATCTTAACACAGCACTAGTCCTCCTCCTCTCTTCCCCCTCTTCCCTAGCCTTGTCTTTCTGAATAAGGTACAGTCATCCAGTTGAACATCACAGTCATGGGTGTCATCTCACCAAGTCTCAGTGAAGCCTACGAGGTCAAATTCACCTTCTGTTTCTCTTGCTTGGTGCCTACTCTGTGGGCATCTGAACAGACATTTCAAGTTGTGAAATTTTAGCACTGGCTCCTTTTCTAGATCTCTGTCTCCTGCGAACTTCTGGGTGTCCCGACTACTATTCTTCTGCCTTCGTTGTAGCTACTTTCTATGATGTCTAGCTTGGTAGATATACATAAGCAGTTTGCTCCCTCATCTCTGCTTTTTAAAGTCCTTCTGATTAGATCTGCAAGACAGCCAGCAAATACATTCTTACCAGTCTTGGTTAGGCATATTCCATTCCAGCATTTTAAGCTGTAGTCCAGAAATCCAAAGTTCATTCTCAGACACCACTGTTTTAGCCAGTTATTCATTTTCTAAATCAATTTCTCACCTCTGTATCCCTTGCCTTCAGTGGGAAATACAACCTTGGCCCCTTGCCCATGATTTCATAAACTCGTAATTCTTTTTGGTTTCCTTCTGGCAATATAATTTGTACCCATGTGAATCGCCAAGAGTGTGTAGGAATCATCTGTTCTGATGAATCTTGGGAGGTTGTTAAGTCTTAGATAAATGCCCCAGAAAGACAAGAGATCTGATTGTTATCAGTTCTCCTGAGCAAGGACTGCCTAACCCTAACCATTACCACCTCTACTCTTTACTTCTTCCTCTGACTCTTACTGGATGATCTCACCTGATGGCTTCTGTGGCTCTTTCATTCTTTTGAGGACAGATATCTGCTTTATCCTCAGAGTATCCAGCTCCCTCCTCTTCAGGAAGAACCTGAAATCTGTGTTTTTAGGACTAAGTATATAGCTGTCTTTCTCTTTTCCTCCATCTTCCGTATGACACTTATCTATTCTCCAACCTCCTGACAAGAGTCAAGAATTTCCCCTCCTTACATATCCTTTTCCCCCCATTGAAGCCCTGCCTCAGCTTTCTTTAGAACACTTCATTGTCCCTAACAACCTGGAACGTAGGAAGGGTTACTTGAGTCCCTTCACCTTTTTTCCAGGAGGGAGGGGAGCCTACACTTAGAACCAGGGGTGTTTAAGAGCCAGTTCCTACTGACTTGTGACTGCTAAATTTTCAAAGTGAGCCAATGTTACAAATCAGGGCTTGATTTATTGTTTTGTTGATTATCTAGACTTAAGAAAATGGAAAAAACATTAATAATGCAAATTAAACTTAAAAGTTGTGGCTATATCTCCTCCCTCTTCCCCCCACAGAAAGTTGGTTGTTAAAAACATTTACCAGAACAGTGATATCAGTTTTAGCTTGTATTACTGAAGTCAGAAATCTTTCACAACACATATTTTAAATGGAAGGAAGATGACTGTTTTTTGCCCATGCACTATTGTGCTTTTCAATTTACTACAACCCTGGTGAGGTAAGTAATATAAATATTATTAGTCCTATTTTATAGATGAGGAAACTGAAGCTCAAAAAGGTTTAAGTCATTTACCTAAGATCACAAAGCTATTAAGTGTTAAGAGTTCAAATTCAAATTACATTCCAAGTTAAGTTATTTCCTCTGGACACAGTTACTTTGAATCAACAACTTAGTATTTCCTTCTGCGCGTGAGTCTACAGTTTTCTACAAGTGTAAATTTGTTATCTTTTTCTTCTTTGAGTAGGAGTTACAACAAAAAGAATGAGCATTATCCCTATCCAACAATTTTATCTAAGCAAAAAGAAAATCTTTTTTTCTAGCTGGAAAAAGAAAAATACAATATAGCCCCTGCTAAAATTCCAATAAATGTTTTTCTATTGGTCCCATGAAATTTTATTAGAAACTCAGTGAATGGCTACCAGACTCAGATGATGAAATAGAATTATCTGAATTTCAATATTCTTTTTCCAGAGCACTATGTATTAATAGGATTCCCCTCAAAATCTGATACTTGACACAGCTAACAGCTTTATGCAATAAGGTCGCTGAAGTACTCCTGACAAAGAATACTCAACATAATTTTTAAAACAGCTAATTATTTTAATTAACTGATAGCTTTAAAAATGCATAAGAAACCTTTCTAAAATTAATTTTTAGGACTTGCCTGAGGTATGTTAATTCCTTTTCTTATCTGCTCCTGTTCCCATCGACTGAGCTCTTCGTCCTGTTCCCCTGTTACTAAGGCTTCATCGTCACTCCCCTCAATACCTAAACAAATAGATCATTTTTAAAGAACAATATGAAATATACCACAATAATACTTATTCTACATATCTTAAGTTCAACTGCTTAGTTAAGGTATTCATTCACACAGAACACACTTTCATAAATGTCCTTCATTTTGTTGCCTGATATGGAAGTATCCCTGGGTTCTCTAAGGCTATGACAGTGTAACTCAAGTGCTGGTAGGTTAAGTGATGCTGGAAAGACTCTGAGTACGGTCCCACTTACAAAGTTTGCTCTCCAAAGATTAGCTTTCCTAAGTACAAAAAGGCTCCAGAATTTTACCACCAATAGTTTGGCGTCTGGGTTATACATTCTTTGACCATGATGACCCATAAAACAAATAAATACAAATGGTAGAAAATAGAACAGATCTGTCAACAATTTTACAGTGATTTATTCTTATCAGTGGAACTATACTTTGGTACCTGAAGTGCCACAGGGCAGTATATTTAGACCAAACCAAATGCACAAAAAGAGAAATTCATGCTGGCAGTGACTAAATATTTAAAAGCACCAATATTTAAAAGGGACCAACTTACAAGGTGGCATTTTTTTTTTAAAAAGGTGACCATGAGGACATCAGGAAATTAATGATCCATGTTTCTAACTTTCTCTTATATATAAAACCTTTAAGAAAATGATGTACATGTACACATTCGGCTTTACTTCATGAAATGAGAATGGAACATTAAGGCTTTTGTAGATTTTTTTTTGGTAGTGGAAATCTTAATTATTTCACAAAACTGACTTAAAGATAGAGAAATTATAAGATTTCCCCCTTTTTTCATTGCTTCTTCATCAAGATCCTAGGGGTCCTTTAATGAGATCAGCTCAACTACCCACAGAGGAAAAAACAAATAAATTAAAAATGTTTTTTCCCAGACTACTATGTACAGCTGTATGGACAGGCCCTCCAACATCTGCTTAGTCTAAAACTGAGTAAAACAGCAGGACAAATGACATCTGGAAAATTTTGCAGTGCCTTCCAAAGTTTCTTCCTGACACAAATACATATCTTTTTACCACCTGTATTTGCCTATGGCTCCAAACAAGGAAACCTCTAAAGAATCAAAACTGTAGGTGAAGTATAGGATATGGCAGAGGAAGAAAAAAAGAAATACCTGTTAAGTGAAAAATAAAATAAAATGAAAGATTAAAAAAATAAAAGGCATGAGAGGCAAAAAGTAGGTACTGGAATAACAGCAATGATGATTAGAGCATAAGATATTGTATAAAAGATAGAATCAGGGAAATATATAATCAGGAAAGGAGGTAAGCAGGTCATGTAGTAAGAATAAAAGACCAAATGGACAATCAAAGAGTTGCACTAGAACCCATCTTTTTTCTTTTTTTTAAACACACACACATCTTTCTCTCTCTCTCTCTCTCAAAGGTAACATTCCAGGGTATTGGGTATATGTTTTGGAGGATCATGGACAAAAACTGTATAGGATGAGAAGGCATTTGTACCAATTGTGTGGGAACACATTTGTATCAACTGTGTGGGAATTCCCATGTTGACAAGAACATGTCGTACATTTATTAGCATCTTAATGCTAATGCTTATAATGTTACCTATTTCCTCTGCAATTTTTTGCCTCTGTGACTTTTCTTTAACAGAAAAAACTATTCGACGTTTCTCGTCATCATCATCATCATCACTGGCATCATTCTCATCTTCTCGAACAAGGCGGCCTTTACCAGGTTCATGATCATGAGGTGCAAAATCACCAAGTTCACGGGCCATCTGACGTTTTTTTCTAGCAGCATGAATAAAAGCAGCATCTGGGATTTCCCCTAGAAACAAATAATTATTTTTTTAAATAACATAATTCAGTGGGAAAAGTCTTTCTTGTTAGAAGTACAGATAGCGTATATTTTAAAGAAAGGAGTGTATAAAATAGGACAGAAATCAGGAGTTACTCTTAGAGCTTTAGATGTCAGATAAGAGGCAGTTATCGAGCATCTAGTGCAGACCACTGTACAAGTTAGTGCTAAGGGGCACAGAAGGTACTATTGTCTCTTCAAGACATCTTTGTTAGTACTACTTTCTAGTGCTAGCTGACCATATAACTGTTTTCTCTTGATTATCAATACTTATACTATCCATTCACTAAATCCACATCAAACAGCTGATGGACACAATATAGGAGGAAGTTGGCAGGGTTTCAATCCTTGCTCATTATCCCTAATTGCTTATTAGCTATTTAGTTTAGTTTTAGCCAGTACCATAGTGCCCTCTGCAGTTAAGAAGAGTAACATCTTAGAAGTACAAATTCATTTAACTATTCCAGAAAGGAAATCAGAATTATGCCAAAAAAAAAAAAAAAAAAAAAGGCTAAAATGTCCATACTCCTTGACCCAGACTTCCCAGTGGTGCACATTTACACTAAAGAGGTCAAAGACAGAAAAAAAAGGTCCTTTATATACTAAAATAGTCATAGCAGATTTTTTTTTGTAGTAGCAAATAACTGGAAAAAAGTAGACACTCTATTGATCAGAGAATGGTTAAACAAATTGAGGTACAGGAAAATAATTAAACATTGGTGTTATAAGAAACAATGAATATGAAGATTTCAGAGAAGTACAGAAAGACTTACTGATGCAAAGTAAACAAAACCAGAATAACAACATACACAATGTCTACAATAAGGGAAAATATCAATCAACAAGCACTAACTAAGCACCCATTATGTGCTATACTGAGGACTGGGGATACAAAGAAAAAAAATATCACAATTTCTGCTTGCTCTCAAGCAGCTTTGAGGGATGGGGAGAACAGAATATGTACAAAGCAACATCATCAACCAAAACGAACCAAACTGAGTACTGTGTAACTATTATGAAAAAGCTCCGTCCTAGAGAAGAGAAAATTTACTTCCCTGCTTTGGAGAAGTGGAGCAACTATGGGTTTAGAACATTATATAGTTGGTTGGTTTTGCTGAGCTGCTTTTACCCCTTTCTTTTAAAAAACACTTTTGTTATGAGGGGTGCCTGGCTAGCTAGAAGACAGGGAAGGATATTTGAAAATGAATGATTTTTAAAAAGACATCAATAAAAAGTTTTTTTTCCTTAATTGAGGAACACCTGGCTGTGAATTTGAGAATGCTAGTAGAGGATCTAGGACCAATAGGGAGAATATAGGATAAAGAGAATGGCAGCAGCAGCTTTGAATTTAACACAAATTTTTAAAGAAATTTCACCCAAATGGGAAATAAGCAAATCTTAAGGTTCTTAGTGATATTTGCCAAAATTTAAAAACAGTTTTTGAAAGACAGTTAAGGGGCAGTTAGGTGGCCCAGTGGATAGAGCTCCAGTCTTGGAGTCATGAGGATCCGAGTTCAAATCCGACCTCAGACACTTGAAGCTTATTAGCTGCGCGACCCTAGGTAAGTCACTTAACCCTGACTGCCTCACAAAAACAAACAAAACAAACAAACAAAAAAGGGGGGGGAATTAAACAGATAATAATAATTATAAATTTAAGATCTGGGCTTAAGTCACAGGCTTGCCAATAATGAGCTCTGATGTTTTAGACGTTAATATTTATATGGATTAATTAGAACACTGACTTCTCTTGAACAAAGAGGAAAGGTAATCAATCCTCTAGTTAATTCTATGCTAAACTTTATTTAGGTTATTCATAACATCCATCTGTATAGATAATAAAACTGGCTGTATGCATATTATCTTAGAAAACCATTAGTGGTTCCCCCATCTACAAATGAGACTACAACCTCCTGTATCACATCTATCTTCAAAGTTATGTTACAAAGAAGAAATGATTGCAGTCCTGTCCTCTCCTCCCTGAAATAAAGAGATCTCAAGCAACCTGGCAAAGGTCACTTCACAATAAATATGCTACTTTGGTGTTATCAATTTTTAGTAAATGCACACCTGGACGCAGAACGTTCAAAGACGACAGAGCATTTGAAAAAGTCCCACCAACTTTTGGCTTCTCTTCTTCCTTCTCACTCTCCACTTCCATTTCATCTTCACCACGTTCACAGATAATAGCCCCATCTTCTAGACTTGGATCCTTAGGCTGCCCTACTTTGTCCAAAGACTGTTCAGCTGATGAGAAAAAAAATAATTCTAAAGGGATACATTTCCTTATCCCAAACTTCATTATCAGAAATACAATTAGAGGAGGCAAAGGGATACATTCCAGGAAAAGGATTACTGTGCTTACCGAACTGTGCTTTGAGAATAACAAAGGTAGCTTCCCCAAATACATAAAATAAAAGACAGTCTTACAAAGAAAACCAATTATATTGAAAGTTATCAAAATATTTGAAAAAAAAAATTTACACCCTAAATTAAGAATCCCTAAACTGGATGATCTTTAAGGTTCTTTCCAGCTCTAATCTATACTTCTATGACCTGTATTGTGAGTCGAGAAGTCCCAGAAGGAAGTACTATGCATTAGCCATCTAGAAATCTGGAAACTAGATACAGCCTCACCTTTCACTTTTTAAGTCCTTAGGTGTACCTTCTTTCAGTCAGACCTTGGGCCTGGTCAGTCTGCCTATACAAGTATCAATGCTTCCCCCTCAGCCATTTGTAATGACCCTTGTGCTGGAAGTTTGACTGTTACCTAATCTTATCCAGGCCAACTTTGCTATAATTTTTGTTCTGAGAAGATTTCTAAAGAGATAAGTATGTTATTATAGTTAATATTTTTAAGCAGTGAAAAATTCAAGAATCTGATACATAATGTAAACAATCACGTTAAAAACTGTATTATTCATAACAATAATATAATCTTTTTCAATTCCCATCTTGACAACTGTTGAACTCTTTCCAAATCTCCCCACTCCACTTCAATAAAAACAGAAAACTAATACTCTCAGCGGGTTGACCTTAACATTACCCCTAGGGACCTAATTAGCTACTTTCAGTAGGGCAATGCAGCTCTTTCCTTCCTTCCCTTCCTCCTCTTCCTCTATCCACAAAAGGAATCATACATACCCTTACCTGTAGGCACTCTGCCCAAAGGAGTATAATTTGATCGATGAAACCTTGAAAGATATTTTCCGGGTTACAGGCTAGATTTGTTTTTTTAAGGATCAGGCCTTAAACCTAAATCACTCTGGCTCTCAGATTGGACAGTAATAAGTCCCAGCCCAAGCCTCATTTGGTCATTGTTTGGGTTCTGACGGCTCAGAGTGAATGTAAATAGCAATTTTTTTTCTATTTTGACCCAAAACTCTACAGTCTTTCCCTCCCAGATCGATTTTGTTTTTTGACTAGATAAAAGAGGCCATTCTTTGCCTCATTTCTTACCTAGCCTTAATCAATGAATGGGTGTTGCCTCAATCAAATTGAGACCAGGGAAAAGACCTTAGCTTAAAAAGGCCAAGGTCTTTTGATGCACCAGGGCCATCTCCAGTGCTCTTGATTTATATCTTGCCACTGAACCCAGATAACTCTACAGGAGAGAGTAAGGTTGATAACTTTGCAAGCCCTCCCTCACTTAAATCCAAGTCATGACATCACTTTCATGATGTCCAGGTCCTCTTGGAGAACGAAGGACAAACAATGAAGGAATGACGAACATACCAAACAAAGTGGCCTACTTGAGATTTCCTATACACAACATTTCATCTCTTGTCACCACAGCTAGACTGTTCTTTCTCATCACTGCTAACTCTTTAGGATATCTAGCTTCCCTGGAGGTTCAGCCCAGGTGTTCACTCCTACACGAGGCCTTTTCTGATGCCTGACAGCTGTTAGTGCCACTGCCTGGCTTCCCAAAAGATTCCTTTTATGTATTTTGTATTCGCTTTTCTGTGCACATTTATCCCTCAAATAGAAAGTTGCTTAAAACACAGACCTATTTTAAAAAATCATCAGTCCTTAGTAGAATGTCTGGCAGACAGTAGGCACTTAAATGCTTATTGAATTGAATTAAATTGGATCCCGGCTATCCTGCATATATTATCTTGCTTATCTTCCTCAAAAGACCTATCTATACCTATTCTCTCTTCCTCTCCAGTCTCAGAAAGAGGCACGTACTCCTTTCATTCCATTGCTTTCTTACTCTTTTGAAACCTGGCTCCTTTAATTATCCCTTCTCCCTAGCATTTGTCATCTCCATTGGTTCTTTTTTTCTATGAATATATATGAGTCTAACCTATCTTAAAAAACAAAATAAAAAAAACAACCCAGTAAAATATGCTGTTCCCTCTAGTGCAAGGGTTCTTAAGCTTTTTTTCTGTCATGGACTCCTTCTGTAGTCTGATAAAGTCTGTGGATCCCTTCTCAGAATACATGCTGGCTACATTCATAATAGAAGGGTATGCAAAGTTTCAGTTAGAGATTAATGAAAATAAAGATGTAATTTATTTCTTATCCAAGATCACAGATCCCCTTGAAATCTATCCACTGATCCAAGAACTACAAATTAAGAATTCTTTCTCTACTGGATACAATCCCTCTTCTTTTTCTTGTTAAAGTTCTCAAATAACCAATCTGCACCTGTCATATCTCATCTACTTTCTCACCAACTTCTTCATTTTATAATCACTGGCACCTACACTACAACTACTCTTTAAAAGATAGCCAATGACAATTATCAAATTTAATGACCTCTTCATAGTACAATTCTTGACTTCACTAGAGAATTTGATAGTGCTGAACCCATTCAAAAATCTCTCCTCCCTTGTTTGCTTTAACAATTCTGCTTTTTCCTCCTACTTCTCTTTCTCCTAAATCCTTAAAGTTGCTAAAATCCAATGTTCAATTCTCTGTTCCTTTTTGCTCTCCCTTAATGACTTTATCCACACTTTGAGCTTCAACTATTATTGCCTCATTATCATTAAATCTAGTATTTTCCAAATTTAACTCTCCAACCCGACTTCTTGTCCAAATTGCCTCTGTTCTTAAACGGCCTGCTGGATAGTTTCCTCTTGATCTCAAACTCACCAACACTAAAAATCTGAAGCCATTATCATTCCTTCCACAAATTGGCTCCTCTTCCTGGATTCCCTTTTGCATTAATGTTTCTGTTACTCTCAATCTTAAAGTCCTGTCCATTTTTTTTTCCCCACTTCTTTGACTTTCCCTCCTCACTCCCCCATCCCCCATCTAATCAGCCACCAAGTCTTACTGTTCCTTCCTTTGGAAAGTATATTCAAATCAGTCCCTTCCTTTCCATTTCCAAGATTACTACCCTAACCCAAGTAGTTATCACCCCATACCTCTACTACTGAAGTCACCTTTAAGTAGTTTTCTTGTCTCTGTTCTCTACACACTCCAAGTCATTACTGTTGCTTATTTTAACAAAAAAATTTTTTTAATTGTGAAATTAACAATAATTAGACAGAAACATTTCAACATACAAAAAAGAGGGTTATATAAGAAACTGAACTTGTCACATAGCTTTTAAAAATGTGTACGTGTTATTTTCAACCAAATAGTAATAGTACTGATCTTTATTTTTTAATTCCTTTTTGCATTTTGGTTTCTTCTGGGTATCAGAAAGTTATACTGATGTGTTCTTTGTGTGTGTGTGTGTGTATCTCACTTCCCACTAACCTACCATTCCACACCCCAGTAGAAGCCAATCCTTATAAGGAACAGATATTATCCAATCCAATCAATCGACAAATTGGTCATGTCTTAGAATACATCTCAATATGCTTCTCTCATCCATCACCTCTCTGTCAAGAGGTGGGAGACATGATTGGCTGCCCAGACAGAATCTTCCTTCCCATGCTACTACCACCTACTACCTTCAGAACTACACCTTTTTTAGCCTCATCTCACCCTTTCATCATGTCTCATTCTATTGTTTCAAAATCGATTTTTATAGATCTCTTCCTCTAATCATCTCATCAATCCATCCATCTTACCATTATGAAAAATCTGGCTCTTTCTACCCACCAAAAATACTGTATTTCTGATCATCTTCTCCAGTTTCAGAAGTATCTTCTCTCATGCTTTCCCAACATCCTGAGTCACAAAGAGAAATAAATGTGCTTCTTATTTTTCACCTACTTTCCCTACCACTCAGAAACCTCTCCCTTTTTGGGGATTCATTGAATCCAGTTACATCACTCAATCCAGATCTTGATGGCTATTCTCTACTGGCTCCCAGATCATTTTCTCTTCTTTCTCAAGGAGTTCTATACAGTGTTTACTTTTGCCTCCACTTCATTCCCTGTCCTTATTCTTGAGAATATCAATTTACCTGCTCATGTCCTTCAAATGTCTGCTTCCCAGTTCATCAACCTCAACCTCCATGATTTGATGTGCATTTGTGCTTCACTTCTGCCAGATGGTCATACACTTAATTATCACCCCAAAATGTTTCATTCCACATTCTAGTGGCCTCTCTTTACTATTTCTTATTTTCTTTCATATAGCTTGTCTGTGCTTAGTTGTTCATATGTTGTCTCCCCTTTTAGATGTTTAGTTCCGACATGGCTGGGAATGTCTTTTACCACTTTTGTTTTTTTGCCACCACTTAGAATGGTGTTTGGCACATAATAAGGGCTTAATAAATGTTTACTGACTACCGAATTTTACACATCATATCATCTCAATATTTTCCTCTATTCTCTCCTTTGCTCGTTCCTCAGACGAAGAGGTAGCCCTTCCCCTTGCTAGTTTCAATATCCTCTGTTTCTATACCTTATTTCCTCACTTCCTCTCTCCTCTGGGGGCCTGCCCCTTCAATCATTCTCTCTCTTCCCAAATTTTAATTTCTCCCTATCCACTGGCTCCTTAATCTGCTGCATTTAAACATGCTCAGATAATCCCCATTTTAAAAAAAAAAACATTTAGTTGACCCTAACATCTAGCTTCTTCTCCTTTCCATTGCCAAACTCTTTGAAAAAGATCTCTACATTTACTTTTCAACCTGGCTTTTACCCAACACTCAACCAAAAAACTTTACAAGGTCACCAAAGATCTTATAGTTAAATCTACTGTATTTTGTCACACCTCATCTTTCCTGACTCTCTCTTGTCATTTGATACTGTGGACCCCACTGTCATTCTAATTACTGTCACCTCCTGGGATTTTTGTCATTTTGTCATTGTATCCCTCCTACCAATCAGACACATCTTTTTCATTCTTCTCTGGAAGAGTCATTATCCACATCCTGACCTCTATGTGTGAGCATACACTAAGTTGTGACATAAGCCCCTGTCTCCTTTTTTTCTCAGTTGGTAATTTCATCAGTTTCCATGGATTCAACTATCATCCTCATGAAGATACATTAAAAAAAAACAAACTTGGAAATATAAATTGTATCAATTTGAAATTCAAGATCACATCTGCACACATCTGAAAAGTAAGGGGAGAGGGAAAGATGAGGGGAACTAGGGTGTCAGTTTTCTCTATTTTCACATCACAGTTAGTTCTAACAAACTTGGGTGAGATAAGGCCATGGGAATGAGACAATTCCAGTGGCAAAGATTTAGTATTTTCTTTAAATGGGCACACTATGATTTCGTAATTATGATGTAACAAATCTGTTTTATTGGAAAGAGGGTCCCCCCAAATTATTTCACATTCATTGAATATCCAAACTATGTAGTCATTATATTCCTTTCTATTTACCGTCAGCTGATGAATTGAGTTCTGTCTTAACTTTTGATTTTTCAAGATCTTCTTTATATTCTTTCTTAAGTAGTTTTACTATTTTTTTGCTATAACTTGATTTCTTCACTTTGAAAACTTCTTCAGTTTCTTTAAAAAGAGAAAACATTCATGTAAGACATCTATATTTGTCATATTCAAAACCACCAAATGTCATATTCAGCTTAAACAACCAAGTTGCTCAGTTCAACAGTTATGCATTGAATCATTAATCCATTCTGAAGCTGCTTTGACTCTCTCACTTCATTGGAACACCAAGGAAAGAGTAAATGGGATTTTTTGGTGTTTCCTCTATCCATTAATAGCACATCAAAGAGTTAAGAAACTTTCTATTTCACTTGTAAACTCTTACCCTAGTAGAGAAAAGACTCTAAGACAGTAAAGCATTTAAGCCCCCAAAATATTAGACATTTTTAATAATTTTATTAACTCAAAACCTGTCAGTTAATTACCTAGCCTAGTTTTTGACTGATATTTCAAAGGGAAACCTACACTCCACAGCATATCAATTTTATATTTAAAATACAATTTGGTGTATTCCCGCAAAAAAAAAGGGTTAAAAAAAAAGAACTCTTTCAACCTGTATAATGTATATACGGCCTTAAGGTTTGCAAAAGCCACTTACAAATATCATCTCATTTAATTTGTAGAAAAAGCAATCTCGAGCTCAAACAAATCTTGTCCTCAAAAATACAAAGATGCAAAGGAAGACCCAACAGAAAGAAAAGCTAAGATCTCCATTCTATGTAAAGTGACTTTCATTAGCCTCAACCGTGGATTTCCAGGAGCCAGAAATTCATTTCACTCTTGGCCTATCAGATGCACTTGGACAAATTCAGTCAAAAAAGAAAAGAAAAGAAAAGAAAAGGACATGAAGGTTCCCTTGAGCTTCCGGTGGATTGTTCCTCATTTAAGAAAAGGAAAAAAAGTACATAAAGAGAAATACTAGAGATCTATGTCTCTATACCTCTATTTTTCCTTCTTGTGACATATCCATGAATTTTTTTCCCCTCTCATGCCTCTAATGGGCCACCCATGGGATGCTGCTGCGGCACCAGCGCTAGCTGGGGGGAAGCAGAGGCCACGAACTTCTCCCAGGAGCTGAGTTCAAATGTGGCCTTTTTCTTTCAAGGTGGGGAGAACTTAGGAAATGAGGGAACTGAAGGACAAAATTCACCTGGGGGAGGGGGAGGGGAGCGTCTCGTTCCCGAAGGGGCACGAGGTGGAGGAGCAGGAGGGGCGCTCTGTGTGCGTGTGTGTGTGGGGCGGAGGGGGGTCGGGGAAGCCTGAGTCCCCCAAACCCCGCGGGAGTGGGGGTCCCTGGGCAGCCTCGAGCTCGGGGCCGGCCGGGGGCTGAGGTGCCGGCGGCGGGAACGGCTGTTACCTTCTTCTTCGTCCTGGAAGCTCAACAGGCTGGCCCGGGGCGCCTCTTTGTTCTCCCGCGGCCTCTTGCGAGGTTTCAGGCCGTTGCCCTGCTCGGAGCTGGCCGGGAAGCCGGGCCCGGCGTCGGGTCCGGGGCTCAGTAACAGCGAAGCGGAAGAAGAGGAGAGAAGCGGCGGGCCGGGGGCCACGGGGGGCGCCTGGAGCTCGCCGCCGGGGGCCCTGTCCCCGGCGCCCGACTCCTCCCCCCCGCCCGGCGACAGCAGCGGCGGCGCCTCCTGGTCCTCATCGCGTTCCCGCTCCTCCTCCTCGGAGTCGTTCCGCTTGCGCACGTTCACCCGCCGGGCCTTGCGGAACATCGCCGCTACAAGGCCGGCAGCGGCGCCCACTGAGACGGCGTCCGGGGACCTCGGCCCTCACACACCACGGCACCGAGCGCAGAGGCCGAGACGGCGCAGGCGCCCACTCCAAGCTCCCGGCGCTCCTCCTCCCCAACCCGCGCACAAGCAGGCCTAGAGCCCGGCTCCCCTCGGGACAGGCCCTTTAGTCCGCTGCCCTCTGCCGGCCCGGAAGACTTAAGGGTAGGCGAGAAGCGGAAAACTTCGCGTTCTCCAACAGGGAGAACCATAGAGTTGAAGGGAACGTGCGGCTAGAAAGTCATGGCCTGCGGCGTAGGCGGTCAGATGTCACGTAGTTTTGCCTCCCGCCTCGCGCGTTGAGAGCAGGGCAGAAGGGAGCCAGGTGGTTCTCGGAACCGGGCAGGGGAGACCGGGCCAGCAGAGGGAAGCAGGGACGGCAGGAGTGGCTGCAGCCGGCCTTCCTCGGGGGAGCTGGGGCACGGAACTGCTTCGGACTCTTCTTTCCAAAAGCTGGGGAGCGGTTGAGGCTGCCACCGACGGGGCTTTTTTCTTTTTTTTTTTGGTCCTATTCCTAAGCTTTCTAGCTGTTTTTTTAAATTACAATTTCTTTAATAATTATAACTTAAATTATAATTTATTTTTTAAATCATCAAAAACCTGCCTTCTCCCTTTCTCTTTCCCATCCCAATCCCTCTCCCCCAATTTGCTACGTTTTCTTGTAGGCAGGTGAGTCTTTGAGGTATTTGCAAAATCTCTCCCCCACCTCCACCTCCAGTAAAGAAAATGAACTGGGCGACAAAAGCATGGTGGCAGGAAACAGGGTGTCCCGAAAGTCTCAGATGGCTTGAAACTGCACTAAGGCTTTTGGGACTCCCTGCATTGAGCTGGCCTGGACAGCTAGAGAAAGCATTGGATTTCGCAGTCAGAAGACCTGGGTTCAAATTCCAGCTCTTACTTGTTTGTGATCATAGGGCAGGTCCCTTCGCCCTCAGTTTTTCCTCATCTATAAAATACTGTATGGTGGGGAGGCGAAGTATTGTGATAAAATAGGAGCTTTTGAAGACATCTTCGAGCTTTACCTATTTTTTAGTTTGGAATCTTATGCCGTAGAGGTGTTGACAGGGGGAAAGCCTTTATTTGAAATTTTAATCCTGATTAATGTTCTGTGGGTGAAGTTGCCCCTCAAAGTATTTCAATGGCTGAGACTAGAAGCTCTTGTCTTAAAAGTGGCTCTTCTCCTATCCTATAAAAGTGTTGACACTTCCCTAGCCTTTTTAACTTTTGCCAGAGAGAAAGAGTTCTAGGTGGTTGGTTAAAGCACTGGACCTGGAATGAGGAAGACTACTTGGGTGTAAATCCAGGCTCAGATAGGAACTTTGTGATTTTGGGCAAGTTCCTTAACTTCACATTGCCTCAGTTTCCTCATCTGTGAAATGAGGATAGTAAGAGCACCCACCTCCCAGGGTTGTTTTGAGGATAAAAATGAGATTACATTATGTGTGTGTGTATTTGTAAAATTTTTTTGCAAACCTTAAAGTGGTATATAAATGTTAGCCAGTTATTTCTTTAGTAGTTCTCTTGGGGCAGAAGCATATGGGAGTTGTATGTGACGCAAGGGAAGAGGTTTGAAAAAAAACTTTTTTTCATATTAGGCATTTATCTTCTCTTCCTCTCACCCTTCCTTACTCTCTCCCTCATCCTCCCATTGGAAAGATGGTGGACAAAACAACCCTCTGACAAATATACATAGTCTACATTTCCAGCATGTTTCATTTTGCATCTTGGATCCATCACCCCTCTGTCATCAGTCTGATAAGAGTTTTTATGTCTTTCAAAGTTGTCTTTTGATATTGTATAAATTCTTCTGGTTCTGTTCACTTGACTAAATAGTTTAATACAACTATTCCCAGGTTTCTCTGAAACCTTTTGTCATTTTCTTGTGGCACAATAGAATTCCATGACATTCATATACCATTCCCCAATTGATGGGCACTTCCTAAGTTTCCAGTTCTTTGCTACTACAAAAAGAGCTGCTATAAATTTTTTTGTACATATTGGTCCTTTTCCTTTTTTCTTTGATGTCTTTTGGGTAAGTTCCTTAACTTGAATAGTAGTATCTATAGATCAAAGGATATGTATAGTTAACTAGCATTTTGGGAATAACTGCAGTTCCAAGTTGTTTTCTGGAATTACTGTACCAATTCACAGCATATGGATGTACCTGTGTCTTTTTTTTTTTTTTTTAAACTAGGTCTCCCTAGCTTGTCTGGGCTGGAAGTATGTCAGCCACTCAGTGGCCTGATCTCAAAACATATCAGCACAGAAGCTTTAACCTGCTCCATTTTTCTAATCTTGGCTGATTTGACTTTCCTTGAAGACTGCCTAGTGGTTCTTCCATCTTGTAGCTTCACCATATTGGTACCAGACTTTGTTCAGACTTATGATCAGTTTTTTCCCTACTGCAATTTAGAACTGAACTCAAGTGTTCTGCCAGCCTCATCCTCCCCAGCATCAGGAGCTAAAGACATAGGCTAGTACCTCTACAAGGTGCCAGTTTTCCTGCAGTCCTCCGACATGTATAATTTTCCTTTTTTTGGGGGTGGAGGTGTGAGGTTGAACCTCAAAGTTATTTTAATTTGTATTTCTATAATACTAATTTGAAGCATTTTTTCATATGGCTGTTGATATCTTTTAAGAAATTCCTCTTCATATCCTTTCACCATTATCAACTGAGGAATGCCAACCTTTCTTTTCGATATGGCTCAGCTTGTACTTTCTGTGCAGTTATTCTTTTCTTTGGTGTGCCTCATTAGCTTTTTGTGATTGGTAATATTTCTTCATTGTCTGTGGCATTTTCATCTGTTTACTATTGTCTCCTCCCACTGTTTCTTAATTGGAATTTTGTGCTAGGGCTGGATGCTGCCCACTCCCACATTCTTGGATGGACATGGTATAGGCCCAGTCTTGCTTCTGTTGCCACTGTGTGCTGAATTGGGTGGCTTGGACTAGGCCCCACCCTCCTCCAGAAGCCCTGACTTTGGGATAAGTCTCTTGATAGCCCAGCATAGATTTCGGTTTTAGCCCCTCTGTCTCTGTCTCTTTCCGTCTGTTGGTCTATCTGTCTCCACAAACCCCAACTGTCCCAACTGGATATTGTAGATTGTGCTGGCAGCAGGCCTCTTTGCTGCCTAGTTGATGTGTTGCATGTGATGGTTCCAATAGGAGAGTTACTTTTAGCCTATTTATAAGGTTCCCCAGTGCTGGGGCTGGAAAAGATTGTGCTGGCCCCTTTTCCTGCTTTGTCTGCACCATGGGCCTCCCTGGTGTAACTAGCACTGGCTCTAGGCTTAATGGTGGGTTCCTGGTATACAAGCTGTCTGGGTCTTGTGCTGGCCCGGTCTTTTGTGGTTGCTTTGTTAGATACGCTTGTTTCAGGGCTTTCATAGGATCTCCCTGCTGTTCAGGTTACTGGATGCTATGCTGGCCCTGTGTCCTGATGTGCCTGTGGTCTGGACTGCCTTCGGATCCCTGAAACTTTAAGGACACTCAAAATTTTTCCAGGTATCTTTAAAACACATAGTGAATCTTAGTAGCGGTACAAAATCACTCCTCATTAGGATGAGCAGGCTAACTTATATAGGATAACAAATTCAGAAAAACCTCAAAGAAAGTATGGTAGTCCCTAAAAAGGATCAAGTACTCTAGTTAGATTACTCAAGGATTCTGGGCTAGTAGGCAAATCTTATCATATGAATCTTTAATTCATAAAGATCTCTGACTAGCTATCTGCGCTTATGTAAACCACAAGGCAAGTGGCAAAGGTCTGCTTAAAAGTTTAAAAAAATCATCTATTATGCTCTAGGTAAGTTGCTAAGCATGAGTATTCTGTTCACACCAACATTCATGTAAATAATGTGCACAGTTACACAACAGATATCAGCATAAGCATTCAGACAAGATAGAGTTATCTTAAAGAGACAGATCTGCCTTGTAAACAAAACACATCATGAAACTGACTGACCAATTATAATATAAAACAACAAAGAAAAAAAACCAAATTTTTTTTTCCAAAGGATCCTAGAGCATCCAAAAAGAAGCCAGAATGAAGAATCTCTTCAACGAATTCCTGAAAGTGCATCAGTCAGGTGATACTCCCTCCCCCCACAGTAGAGCAGCCTAATCCCTCAATTTGCAGTTGCATTCAAGGATTGGCTCTCCAGAGAGAATACTCTCAGAATTCTGGAGATGATTCAGGGGGACTATACTTGTAATACCAAAACTTGCAAATCCCTACTGCTGCGCTTCTCTTTAATATTCCCCCATAAATTTGGAAAAGCACTTTTGCACAAATTAATAGTTATCTCTTCCACATTGTGGAGGTTAGAGGTGTCCTCCGAGATATGGAAAATTCTCATAAAATTTTTTGGCTCTCCATACCCAAGAAGAAGTCTGAATTTTTTCTTTTTCTTTTATGGTACTTTATTGTAAAATTTGGGTTAAGTATTTGGTCGTAGGTTCTGTGTTGTCTCCTGGCTTTCGTGTATCGTCTGCGCCTTCCACAAAACTCCCAAAAAATTCCCATTTAATTTCTTATACTGATCCACAATACATCAAAACCTCAATGGGGAAAGTCGTGATGTGCAAGGGATAACTGTATGGCATCTTTTGGAAGAGTGGGCTCATACTGAAAAAGTACAGTGATAGTGAGGTGTGGGTATAGGATATGCATACAGCAAAGGCAACTCACAACTGGTACTACAGGATCTAGAAGTCCTTCTGTAGATTATTCACACTGGCTTCTCAGAGTCTGCTCTCCATAGCCTGACTTTCTTTTGCCAGGATTCATACCCTCAAAGCTGCTTCCTTCTGTAGATGACTTTTTCTTTGTACCTGTGTCTGTCTGGAATGTGTCTCTGCTCCTTACGAGAGGCAGTGTCTGCTCCTGGTTCACTATTTCCTATGAAATGGCTAATGGGGGTGGAAATAGGGGAGTCAGGGTGATATGAGAAGAGAATCTTCTTGGATGCTGC